CCAGAACACGGCCGAGCTGTTTAGGGCCATCTCCTCCAGCAAGAAGAAGATCATTGCTCTCTTCACGGACTGCCAGAAGCTCTTCTCCCTTATGTCGACACTGATCTCCAAGGTCGACACCTCGGACACCGTCACCAATACGCTGGAGTTTGCGGCATCGCGGCTCATCTTCATGGAAACTGCCAACGCCGAGAAGGATTCCGTCATAGACACGCAAAAGTTTGACGGTCTTCGCTTGGTTGCGATGGACATGCTTTCGCAGATCTTCCTGCTTAACCCGTCTCAACGCCAAGGCATTTTTGACGAGATTCTCACCTCGTTGGAGAAACTACCCCTCGGGAGGAGAGCCCGGACATTCAAGCTTGTTGATGGCAACAGCATTCAGCCTGTTTCTGCCCTCATCATGCGTCTCGTTCAGACGAGTGCTGGAAAGGTAGACGAGCGCAAGGGCAAGAACCGGGGTGGTATGGTGGCCGAAGTTGGCCAAGAAGCGAACGGCGACCTCCCGCTTGCCACACAGGAGTCCTTTACGATTCGAGACGAGGATCACGGTGCATCGCAACACTCCACTGCGATCCAAGAACTTGATGGCCTCGCAACGTCGCTATTGGACACTGCCAGAACCAACGCTTCATACGTCATCAAGTTCATCGTTAACCGGGCACTCAAATCGACCAAGTCTGGCGACACACCTTACCGCAACCTCCTCGATTTGTTTGTCGAGGATTTCACAACATGCCTGGACAATCCGGACTGGCCAGCCTCTGAGCTACTCCTCCGGCTGCTCATGGTCATGATGGTCAATCTTGTCGAGAACGATAAATCAGGCGTTCCGGCCAAGAACATGGCTCTCGAGCTTCTGGGCAGCATGGGTGCCGCAATCTCCAAGCTCCGCGGCCACGTCAGGAAAGTCGCGAGTGCCCTGGATGCCAGGGATGCGGATGAGCTGGGCATGTTTATCTCGGACCTGGCAGCTTCGGCGCTGGAACTGAAGTCTCGCCCCGAGCACATGGTATCTTGGACGGGCCCCTACCGTGCCACCCTCAAATACCTCGAGACCCGCTTCTCCGAGGACCCGCATCTGGCGAGCGCCATCTCTTTCATCGTGTCTGATTGGGGCACCAAGGTTTGCCTTTGCTACGACTCGTTCGAGGATGACTTCCGCGAGCGGGATCAGGAGCTGGGTCGACTGGCCTACCGGCTCCGGGAGATGATCCAGGACCGCCGCTGGTTGTCCAACGAGTACTCCTTCAAGGACGTCACCCCCAGCCAGGCGAAGCTGTCTTACTCCATCACTCTCCTGCGGTCTCAGCTCTGCGAGGCCTTCAGCGGCATCTTGAACATCCTCCTGAACTCGATGGCTAGTGACCAGCCGACAGTGAGGAGCAAGAGCCTGAAAAGTATCAACCAGGTGCTCGAAACCGATCCCTCGATTCTAGATGGCGATTCAATCGTCATCCAGATGATTCTCCGGTGCTCAAATGATTCATCCACGCAGGTCCGAGATTCTGCGTTGGGGCTCATCGGCAAATGCATTGGCATGCGGCCGGTGCTGGAGGAGAGGATGACGGAGACTGTGGTCGACAGGTTCTCCGATGCCGGCCCAGGCGTGCGGAAGCGGGCCATGAAGCTGGCAAAGGATATTTACCTCCGCAACAACAACAGGGTCCTCCGTAGCGCCATTGCGAACGGCTTGCTCCACCGCATCCAGGACCCGGAAGAGAGCGTCAGAGACCTTGCTCGCCAGGTGATCGAGGAGATTTGGTTCAACCCTTTCCACAGCGGTGAAAACTCGACGGCTTCTCAAATCTCCCTCGCGGAGCACGTTTCTCTTATGGTCCAGACCGTCAAGCGAGGGAGCGTTGCGAATGTCCTCGACAAGGTCTTGCAGACTCTCTTGGCGCCGGAGTCAAAGACGGCCCAAGCATCCATGGAGGTGTGCACCAAGCTGGTCGCGAGCATGTTCGATCTCGTCGACAACGGCGACTCCAACGACCCGTCCACTCCATCGGGACGCGACGTTCTCCAGGTCCTGATGATTTTTGCCAAGGCTGAAGCGAGTCTCTTCACCTTTGAGCAGTTGCGTCTTCTGAAGCCGCACATCACAAGCATCGGCAGCAGTGACGACTTGGCGGTGTCCAGAGCGGTGGTGGTCATCTACCGCAGAGTCCTCCCACAGCTCTCGAGTGCACACGCCGAGTTCCTCGCAGATGTGCGCAAGGAGCTGCTGCCCGCTGTGTCCAAAGTCCCCCGGGCTTTGCTTGACGACGTCATGGCATGCCTGTGGATCATTAGCACTCTGCTTGAGACCTCGGAACACCTTGCTAGGTTGGTGTTGTCGAGCTTGAGAGCTATTCAGAAACTCCGCAGCATAAGTCAGAAAGACCCTCTTGATGCGCTCAAAATCCGCCAGTTCGACCGGTACTCGCTCATTGTGGGCATGGCCGGCAAGCACTGCGATCTCGACAGCCACTTGGAGCTGTTCAAGACGGGGTTCCCCAACTGGAAAGGGGAGACCGCGTCGAAGCTCATGGTCGATGTTGTGGTGCCATGCGCTGCACCTGCCCAGCCCTTGGACGTCAGGAAAGCAGCGCTTGACTCGGTGGGTCTGGTCTGCCAGGCATCGCCGCGGAACTACGTATCTGCCAACGTCTACACCACCTTCCAGCAGGTGTTTGACGAGCAGGTTCCAGCCCTGGAGTCGATGATCCTGCGGTCTCTCAAGGAGTTCCTGTTCACTGAGGAGAAGCGATCCGAGCAGGCTTCCGAGGTGCCTGCGATCAATGGAGCCAAGTCTGAGAAGAAGCGCGAGCTTACAGTCATCGGAGGCACCAACTACGACGACGTGGCGAGTGCCACCACACATCGGTTCCTGAGGGAAGTTACTCGCATCGCCACCTCTACTCAGGACGACCATGCATTCCTCGCCGTTGAAGTGCTCGCCAGCATCAACCGACAGGGTCTGGTGCACCCGAAGGAGACGGGCGTGACCTTTATCACTCTGGAGACGTCGTCAAACTCGCGCATTTCGGAACTCGCTTTCCTCGAGCACAAGTCCCTCCACGGCAAGCACGAGACCGTCGTCGAGCGCGAGTATGTCAAGGCGATCCAGTCGGCCTTTGCGTACCAGCGCGACATCGTTAAGGATCCGCGCGGCGCTACTGCCAACCCCTTCACTCCTAAGCTGCATTTGCTTATGGAGGTGCTCAAGATCAGCAAGTCGAAGAACCGCCAGAAATTCCTCGAAAAGTTCTGCACCCAAGTCGACTTTGACACCTCCAAGCTCGACATCTCCGAGGAGCTCCCAGCTCACGTGCAGTATTCCCGCTTCATCGTCGAGAACCTCGCCTTCTTCGAGTACGTCACAGTCGGCGAGCTGCACTGCATAGTCTCCGTGATGGAGAAGCTCGTCACCTCGACTGGCGCCACCGTCGCGCAAGCTATCGAGTCCGAAGTCTTCCAGGTCCGCATGGACGCCATCGACCCGACGCCTTCCCAACTCCAACCGCAGTCCGAACCCACCGCTGTCACCGGCGAAGCCCAACCCCAACCGGAACCCGCTCCCCCGGCTCAACCAGAAGTCACCATCGACCTCCCCCGCCTGCGCCAGCTCACCGCCGCGTCAATGATCCTCCTCGCCCTGTGGGAAGTCCGCACCTACCTCCGCCGGCTGTACGGCATGGGCACAACCAACCGCCGCGAGAGCAAGGGCAAGCTGCAGTCCAAAGACCTGTCCAAGATGCCCGTCAAGGTCCAGGGCATCACGGGCGACAAGGTCTGGGAAGAGATCGGCGGCATCATGACGGCGCTCGTGGACCGCCAGCGCATGATGGCGACGTGCAAGGCCTTTGTCGAGCTGATGAATGTCGACAAGGAGTTTCTGGTCCCCGTGGAGGAGGACGAGGATATGGATGTGGATGCGGAGGCGGATCCGCTAGGGCTGGGGAGCGGTGCGGAGGACGAGATGGATGAGCAGCAGCAGCCGGCTGGAAGAGGCAGGAAGCGCAAGGCGCAGGGGGGCGCTGGGCCCAAGAAGAAGAGGGCACGGTCGGGCTCGCAGCAGCCTAGGAAGAGGGGCCGGCCTAGGAAGCAGAGCGCCGAAGCGCAGCAGGGGCTGTTGCAGGATGGGGAGGGAGGGTTTGATGAGGGCGGATGGTTTTGAGGTCTTCTAGCGGGAGATGGGTATCTCTTTCTTCGTTTCGTTTTGGAGTTGGTGGCAACCCTCCCTTTTTTTCACTGCAGATATTTTACATCACACAGCGCGAAGCATTTCATGGGCTGGCTGGTTGGAGGGACGGAGAAAAGGCTGCTGGCATTTACTAGGCGATGACGGCGCGTGGCATCACGGAATAACCAGACAACCTGGCAGGCGTTGCTTGTGGCTTTTGCTTTGATTTGCGGGGTTCGAGGTTCAACAGGACGGCGGGGAAACAAACAGGTGGTACATGACTTGGGAGGCCAGGCAGGCGGCGTTCTTTTGGGGCGGAACAGATGGGATTATCAGGAGAGGGATGATACATACTTACTACTACTTACTCTACACTTGCCTGTCGTCGGTGGCTGTGTTTAATGGGGGGTGATATCTTGATACCAATACCTTTGGCTGCCGATATCTGGCTGGCGTAGCTGGTGAGAATGAAAGGATGGGCGGTAGCTGGTTTGAGATCTGGTAAGACGTTGAATGAGCGTAAATCACAAGATCAAACAACTACCTACCGGATTTTATTCAGCCCGCTGCAACTTAGAGAACGGAAAGGCTGGCTCCCAGCAAAACACAACCATATACTTTTCACCTCGGAGTATTATTTGGTCTCTCTCGTTTTGTTTGGTGTGTGTGGGTGAGTGGAGTGCCGAAGGGATTCGAGAACAAAACAAGAAGATTGGGTAGTCAAAGCACATTCCGAAAACCAGCAAGTCCAAAAAAGGGATGCGTGCCAACGCCATCATCGAAGGCAGGGCAGGCGAGGGGAAGGGAGGGGGGAGAAAACGGCAAAAGAAAATGCCCAGTAACAGGATTGAACTGTTGACCTTCGCATTACTTAGTATAGCCCGCTAGGGAACTATATTAGTACGACGCTCTAACCAGCTGAGCTAACCGGGCTTTTGATTGTTACGATGAGTCCGTTCTGCTCCACATAAGGAGGACGCTCTCACCAAGCAATGCCAGGTAACCCCAGGCATCCTCTCTTTACGTCCACCCCAGATGATACGGGTAAGAGGTTTGTTTGTTCAGATGCCCGTCTATGGTCTGAGTGGCAGTTGTGGTCTATGCTCAGTCCATTAAACGTCCATAGGGAAACAAAACAGGTGGATTTGACAATTAGCAGTACAACGACCACTCAATCAAGCGTTTAGGGGCAGGTCCTTTCTCACAGCATGAGCACCTCGAGTATGTTCAGAGTGGATTGATTGTATTCCGTTGTACCCAATTATCCTGCCCCTGTTCGTCGAGTCCAGCAGCTAGCTAACCAAAGTTGAGGTATCAATAATACATTCAGACATCACCTATTACTCCGTACTAGTATGAAACCCCCTCTTCCAGCTCCAAATTTTGCATATGCAGGTATCCAACATCATGATCCCATCCATGACCCAAGGCAAGGAAAGAAACCCAAGATACTGCCCATCAAAGCTGGTCCATCGGCATCCCGCCCGTCGCAACCCCCATAAAATCCCCCAAATCCCCAAAGTCAAAATCCATCTCCTGCAGCACATCCTCCACCGACGCATCCATAGCCCCAGCGCCAGCACCCGACGAGGAGAAATCCATCCCCGTCGAAGACGCCGCCCCAAACCCCATCTGCCCTATCTGCCCCTGCTGCTGCTGCTGCTGCTGCTGTAGTGCTTGCCCCCCCTCCCCCAGCGCAACCAACCCCAACCGTCCCCTCATAACCTCCCGAAACCGCCCCAACAAAACCCCATCATCCGCCGGCGTTTTATGACACCCCAAAAACACCCGCGCCCTCTCCCGAATCGCCTCATCGCTCGGAAACGCGTCCTGTGCGTTCCCGACCCCGACCCCCGCACCGGCCAGCACGGCGCCCGTGACAAACTCAGCCAGCGCGCGCTCCAGCTCGCGCGAGCAAAACACGGCTGCCGGCGGCTCGTGCCGCTTGGCGTCTGCGAGCCCTTGGACGAAGCGGTTTGCCGTGGAGCCGTGCGCCGGGATGGGCTTGGCGCCTTCGCGGAGGGTGATGTTTACTAGGCAGGTTTCGCTTGCCTTGGTGACATCGTTACTGGCGGTGGTGGCGGTTGTGGTTGTAGTTGTGGTGGGGGTTGGGAAGGGGGTGATCTGGGTGGATTTGGTTGGGTTCGGGCAGAGATAGGGCGGCGAGAAGCCTGATCCGCCTTGGGCCATGTTCCAGGCGAGGGTCGAGGGCAGGCCAGGGAGGGCCGGGTCCGTGAGGAGGCCGACGTCGCGCTTGAAGCGGCGGAGCCATTCGAAGTTGTCTGCGGCGGTTTGGTTCCACGGGTCGTCGCTGGGGTACGGGGTTAGCTTTGTTTGGGTTGGACGGGGTGAGGGGGGGTTGGGGGGAGCTTACTCCTCGTAGACGATCCAGCGGGCTTGGTGCTGGAGTTCCTCGTCGCTTGGGACGTGGCAGTTGGGGTTGTTGGGCGACGTGGTCGAGGCGACCCATTTCTTGAGCTCGCGCGCCAGGCGCTGGTAGCAGTTGGCGTCGTTGAGGTAGAACGTGCCGGTGGGCTTGTGGGCGAATGTGTTGGATGCGCCGCTGCCGCTGCCGCTGCCACTGGAGAAGGGTGACGAGGTACCCCCCGATGGTGTTTTGTTGGAAGCAGTGTTGGACTGGTCCCACAGCTCGGCTGTTGAGGTGAATGGCAGCTGAGCGTTGCTCAACAGGTCGCCAGTGGCGGGGCCAGCCGCAACATGCCGCTGCTTAAAGGCGGCAAGCCAGACCGGGTCGTCGGCGGCAGTTTGATTCCATTCATCCTCGTATTCGTAGATGATCATGCGGGCCTGCTTCTGCAGGTCGGCGTCGGTGGGCTCGATGCCGAGAGCCCTCTCCACGCGTACATATTCGGCCAGCTCAAACTCCAGCCGGCTGAAGTTGTGGACCGTCGAGTCGATGGTGGACGGGTCCTTGGACCGCTTCCCCGGGTCAGCCAGGTCTTCCGACCGCGGCAGGTGAGCTCTCTGGCGAAAGCCGGCGAGCCATTCGGTCGAGCTGTTCGCGAGTCGGATCATGAATTGGACAACGTGGCCGGACGAGTGGTTAGATTGATCCTCCATGCGGCCGATGATTTTGCACGCCTCGGCCTGCAGCTCGCTGTCCATGGCAGTCAAGCCCAGCAGACGGCGAGCCTTGACGTAGTCGTGGAGTTCGGCCTCCATCGGGTCGAGCTCGAAAATGTTGCTCTTGCCGTTGATTCTGAGCTGCTGCCAGCAGTCAATCCCCTTGACTCTGGTCCACCGCGCCTCTTGCGCCAGGCGGTCGGACGAAAATAGCAAGTCCCGCAGCCATGACGCTTGTGCGCTGGCAGTGGCCCCGGACACGTCTTCCGTGTCATATATCAAAGCGCAAGCAGCGCGCTGCAGTTCCTCGTCTGAGGGGGCCTTGCCTTCCTTCTCACGCCAGTCGTCGATGTAGAATGACAACTCTGACTTGATGAGCTCAAACGCATGTCGAGCAGAAGCGGCCGACGGCCGGGAGGCTTCATAAGGATTTGGCGAGTTTCTTTCGTCGTGAATGAGGTCTTCCCGCAAGTTAGCCAGTTGTCATGCCACAAAATCACAGAGTAAAACATACAGGGCGGAATCGAATTCTCGACCATGTCGAGCACGGGGACGTCGAAACCCCAGTCACCCTTCCAGTCCCTCATGGACTTGCCCTCCTTGAAGTGCTGGGCCAGGTGGTCAACGCGGATGGACCAGGTATCCATCACGGTGCCGCAGAACCCGCAGCGGGACCGGATTTCGGGCGTCGTCGCCTTCCATTGCTCCATGGACCAACTGGTGAAATTGGTGCCGTGGACCAGCTTCAAATGCTGGCGCAGATGGTCCTTCCGATAGAACGTACGCTCTCCCATGGTCCGCTCCTGGCAGGCCGAGAAGTTGTGGCTGTCGATGTGGGCCTCGTCCGGGTTCGGGTGGCCGCAAAAGACGCACGACATTTGCCCGTTCTCGGGGTTGAATGCCTGCGCGCCGTTGGGCGAGCACACCCATCGCTCGAGCGACAGGTGCAGGGATTTCTCGTGGCGCTGCCAGTCGTGCTTGGTTCTAAATGTTTCGGTACAGAAGGTACACTGGAAGGTCTTGGCCGGGCCGGCGTGGGTGGCTGTGGTGGGGGCAGGCGCCTTTCTCCTCCTCCGTCTACGCCCACGAGGGATCGACGATCCGCCAGAGCCGAATGAACCGCGGGAGCCGTACGAGTAGGCCGACGCGCTGGAATGCGAACGCGAGGTATTGGCACTGCTGATGTTGGAATCGCAAAGCGACCGGCCAGACCCATCGTCGGTGAAGTTGGCGCTGTAGGGGCTGTTGAGGCCCGAGGAGATGCTCGAGGCCGAGTTGACGGCGCGGGCAATGGCCGTCACGGACGCGGGTTCGTTTTCGGGCGGAGAGTGTTGCCAACGCTGCAGCGGGTTCATGTGTTCGAGCGACGCAGGGGTTCTCCGCCTCTGAGGGATGTCGATGGGGTTGGCCCAGCTCCGCACGCCGGGTGACGTCGACCTCTGGCTGACTGCGTTCTTGTTCCTGCGGCGGGTGTTGGCGAGCCAGTTTGTGATCTGCGTCTTGCTGAGGCCCGTCTGCTTCTGGAGCATCTCCTTCTCCTCGTCATTGGGATAGGGGTGCTTGCTGTGGGTCGACAGCCAGTTCTTCAAGATCTTGACTGATTCTCTGGAGAAACGGGCGCCAGCCTTGCCTTTCGAGCCGTCGTTCGGGCCTGTGTTGTCGGCACCAGACGTCGAGGCCAGTCCTGGCATATCCATGCCCGAGCTCGGCTGGTGGGGCTCGACGTGTTTCTCCTCCTGCAGCATCCTGGGGTGGTCTCCCATGACCGGCCACGGGTTGGAAGGGAAGACGCAGGACATGCCGAAGCTGCAGTCACGGCGCAGGGCGACGCAGCTGGTGCAGTGGCCCTTGTATTGACCTTCGGGGATCCGCTTGCACTCGTAGCCATTCAGCTGGCAGGCTTGGCAGGGGGCCTCGACCAGCTCCAGGTGGTCCTCGAAGGTGCGGGTGGACCTGTCGGTGGGCATGGGGATCTCCTCGGAGGCGGCCATGATGGGGGAGATGTTGTTCTCAAAGTGCTGCAGGGCCCAGAAGGAGAAGTCATCGCCGGCAACGTTGGCCAGGGCCAGGTCGAGGTCGTCGAGCTGTTGGCCGGAGGGCAGGGGCAGCAGGGATGGAGACAGCATCTCGATCCCGGGGACCGGTGCCGGGTCGGCCTGGTCCCAGTTGACAAACTCGTCCATCTTCGGAGGGGTCTGGGGCGAAGGGGCGAAGGGCGTTGGCGGCCAACACCGGCTCACCGCGTATCGACCGGGAGAACGGAGTCCTGTCAAACGGTCAGACCAAGGGCGCGCAAAGAGGGTCCAGAATGCATTATTACTAATGTTTGTGCGTATCCTGACGGTGAGAGGGACAGGTTTCTTGGATTGTCACCGGGCACCCTTTATAAAAGGGGCAGCATCGCCTGTTTGAGACGCCGTGTCAATGTCGCCTTGGGGAGCGACCGGACTGACAAGACTGACAAGACGAACTCGGAGAATTGCAAAAAGTGAATGCTCAGAATGTCGAGAACAACGTAAGCAAGAGTCGGCCAAAACTGGCGGGAACACTTTTTATTTCAGTCCCTCGCCCAATCCCGTGCATGGACTGCCCTTCCTGTTCGCATGTTGGACGTCAGTTCCACCCGCTTCAACGGGCTTCGTTGCGGGAGTCATGGGTACGAGAACGGATTGCAAGGGTTGCAGGAAAAGGTGGGCTCGCGCCTTTCGATTGACATGCGCTCGGAGTGGGCCAGGCAGCCCCAAGGCGTGCAGGTTGCAGGCTTGCAGTGGCTTGCAGGGCTGGACCCCTGTCACCGCCCACGCGGCCCCGCCGGCTACCCCGCCATCGCGGTCTGGGCATTTCGCGAT